AAAAAAAAAAAAAAAAAAAAGAGAGAAAAAAAAAAGAAAAATAATTGTATTAAATCTAAGTACGTATTGTACGCGTAAACGCACGTTACTTACAAATATATAATGCGCCTATGTATAAAACGTAGGAACTCTGTACGTCCGCGTACGCTCAAAGATATCACAGCTAAACGACATTAAGCTTTCGTCTGCTTACGTTAAAGCTACAATAAATAAAGTTTGACGAATCGTCTGTTCGGTGATTAATATCGATGACTGTTTACGGCACATCATCGTCTTTCGCACACTTTCGTTTCGAAATCATTCTCGATATATAATCATTGGGCTTCCTCTTCGATATAAATACGCTTTTTATTCGTAACCAGTCACGATCGGTCAAGTTATCGAATTATTATCGTGTCAGAATACGCGCGCATCGCGTGCAATGCGAAGACAAATTTTCTAGATATTTACTAACAATAAGAGCGAAGCGATCTACATAATTATCGCGATTTCTCAGTTTTTCCCTAATTTTTAATTTTTCGATTCTCATCGTATTTTCCGAAATCGCATCGATTTAATAATGTTTCGATACGCAAATTTTCTACTATCTTGTCTTTTCCCTAATTTCTAATTTCAACTCTCATCGCATTTTCCACGCATCGATTTAATAGTGTTTCGATACGCAAATTTTCTACTATCTTGTCTTTTCACGCACGGAATATATATATATATATAATATAACTGAAAATTTCAAGCGCGTTAGTCTGCAACGATGATCGTAGATCGTGCGTTGCGATGTTAAATACATATTTGAACGGAATAAAACTATAGAAAATTACTTTTTCGCCGGTTGATTTTCCAATAGTAAGAGTAAAAAACGATTTTCCACAGTTTTACTCTCAAATATATATTTGCGAACGATCTTCAATCGTTCGATCATCTCGTAAAACAAATCGATCGATATGCGCCATACGAATCGGACATTTTTATCATGTTAATCACTATTCTAATTATTTAAGTATGTTCTATGACATAATACTGTTCTGAAGTACATTTCTTAATACTGGTCTCTAGTATACAGCTTGATTATTAATAACACTTTCGTAGTTATCAAATACACCAGTTATCGAAAACAAAACGGCGATTCTTTTAATACGATTAATCTTGTCCCTAAAACTCTATCTTTAACGCTCTACCATCGGAACAAACTGGCAAGATTGCAAAATACTAAGCATCTATGAATG